GCCATTCATCTTGTCACAGTTTCTTAGTTCTCTCATGACTGCCTTTTGCCAGAGTTACTTAGTTGTACAGTGTTGTACAGAGAAAGCAAAAGCAATCGCTCAGTTTTGCAATTCTTTTCCTCTTACCAGCATGACCCTTATAAAGGACACTTGATATATGTTTGTGACTGTGCACACGCACACGTGTGTATGTGTGTGCATTTCTGATCATGAGTATTAAAGTGATGCAAATAACAAAGAAACCATTCAAAATTAGATCAAAATCCTCCATTGAAATTATTTTTGGACAATAAAGGATTACAAAATAATGAATCTAGCATTAGTAGAATATTGCTGTCTGCTTTTTCTAAATGCTTTTCAAAATGCTTCTGAGCAAGTCAAGCATTCTTCTACTTCATTATTCAGTTCACTATATAGTTTCAGAAACGCCGCTTCCCAAAGTATAATATGTGCCACTCAAACAGTAAAGTCCATGGGTCTAAAAACTTACATTCTAAAAAGTACTGAAATACACTTCAGGAGAAGTGGGTCTGCAGTGATTTCTACATGGAGTCAGAACACAATTTTTCAGACTCCTTCCTCCCTTCCTACAGAAAGAGGGCAGAGGACAGGATGAAAAGACAACGTCAAAGAGTCAGGCACTATCAGAGCTTAAGGAACTTAAAACTGATGAACTGCAATTGCTTTACAGAGAAAGCAACTGCATAGCTTAATCAGTTATTCTTGCTCTCACACACACCTCATGAGATCTGACGAGACTCTGAGTGTCACCTACTTTCTTTTTCTTCAGAAATACATGCCTGGAAAAGATTACTTGGACACTGAACTGATCCTCCAGAATCTCGGGCAATAAAGATATACTTATTAAGTCCAGAATTTTCTGCCAGAACATTAACTCTGTGTCCACCCGAGTTCAATACATCTACAAGTCACATACAATATTCCAGCAGCATTTAAAAAAATATAAAGCACATAGTAAAATAAATCAAAACCCACATAAATATGCTCCTGGCACAAGTATCTTAGCAATATCAAGGGTATTGCCAATGTCCTTGTTCCTCACAACAGCAGGGAATTTGTTAATACAAGTGTCCTGATGTGTGTAGAAATCAGAAACAGATGGGCTGACCACCTCACCTCAAACTGCCAACTGGTTTTCCTGTGTGTTTGCCAATTTTCTTTAAAGATACTCTACTAATTTTCCATATCACTGTGAAATTAAACTCACTAAAGATTTGAGATGGCATGACTACTGGAAATATGTTCTCCCTGGAAGTCCAAGCGTTTCGTTTTGCCAACTCCCTTCTCTGTACTTCTTGAAGATAAGACTCATTTTCTGTCCGGCTAAACATTGCACCCACGGGACCTGAGTTACTTTTGTTGCACTTGAACTGCCCACTGCTCTCAAGGTGAAACCCACAGACCCTGCACAACCATCAGGAGTAAGAGATGTGGAAGAGCAGACAACTTGTCTTGGTAATTTGTGAGTGCTCCAGAGATGCAACAACCCTAGCACATCGGTGAACCTACCCTGCCGAACTCCGATCCACAGCTTCACTTTCAGTAACCAGGGTAGCTCAACTCTTCAGTTTTAACCTCCATTTAAATTGGTCTGAGCAACTCCCAAATAAATCTACATTCATATTTTGACCTCCTATGCACTTGTTGGATGAAAACCACTGTAAAAAATAGTTTCACATATACAGCTATGAATACTGTTCCAGAACATTCTTGTGAAAGAGATAAGATGGTGATTGTCAAAATGGCTACAACATCTAGGAAAGTGAAGGGTTAAGTGCAAATTAGCAAAGGTGCTCAAAACCAAATCATTTCAGTTTTAGACTCATATTTTTATAATAGATGGGGTACAAATTTCAAATGTACTTTAATGCATTAGAAACCTAGCCTTCATCGTAGAGGAAAGCTCTTTATAAGTTTTATGGTAAACCTCAATTGTTGGGACTAAAGAAAAAAAACATTGCATTTTTCCCAACCTGATTGATAATATTTTGGCTCCTTCTGAAGTTAAATACATTTTACTTCTTCAGTTTATTATGTATTGTTAACTAGTATACACCATTTTTATACAACTTCACTACACAATAAAGTAAAAAAATACTTAGCTGCCCCAAAAGGCCAAGAATTACATAAATAAAGAAATTGTAATTATTTTCCTGATTTTTTTCATGAAATTAGGATTTGCTAAAAGCATTCCATGTACTGTCATAATTACCAGTAATAACATACAAACTAATGCATTTTTTATTTTCAGTCCATTACTTGTAGATTTGTCATTTGTTATTTCTATCTCACAAAAGGAAGTTAAGCATTTTTATACTTAAAGCAAGAATTTATCAACACAAACATAGCAATTACTGAATCTCATATAAGCCAAAGGTAATGAATGGTATTTCTTTTAAGTGAAGTCTCAAAGATATCTGGTGACCTTCATCATTCATAGTGACTGCTATGCATTGACACTAGCTGGAAGAGAAATTTTGTATTTTACTGACTACTTTAATAAAGCCTACAGCGCTGTGTCTATAAAATAACCAAATAAGCGTGTCTACAAAATACCCAACTAAGTAAACGGAAACTCCTAATACTCCTCAAACTCCAAACAACTCTCATTCTAAAAGCCATGCAAATTGCAACATCCCTTCTAGTACATTTTGGGGAAGAAAACCATAGTTCTGTTCACGTAAGGTGGTGAGTAAACATAGCATGCATTCCTAACTACACGGGTTACTCAGATCATAAAGAGTGTGCCAGACAGCATTAGTGACATAGGGTCTTATCCCACCTCTCTGACATACATGGGAACCTCGACGCTGCTCCTATTCCAGCAAATAAAACTAAATGGGCTTAAGAGAAGATATTGGCTTTAGTACTGCAAAAGGACTGCCAAGCTTTCTTTGAACAATAAGCAAGAGAACATGGGAAAGAAACAGGCTCATACTTGAGCCTTGCCTCATTTAAATAAAATAACAACAGAAAACCCGAACCCACACAACACAGTGCAGTATTCTCGGACTGCTGTCAACTGGCACACAAAGAAGTCTTTTAAACACATTAGAACAATCGGTACTTTTTCTTCAATATAGTCACTGTCCCTGTAGTTGCTACTTTTTAGTATATTAGGAAACCCAAAACTTTAGGAAGTACACACATCTGCTTATTTCTTAGGACAATCTAGATACTGACACAGTAGAAAAAAACAGAAGTTGTAAAGCTCTAGTTAGCAGACCTGGCCTAAACAACTACATGAGTAAAATCACCAGGGTGATGAAAAACAAGGATGGTAATTTAGTTCTAATGCCTGAGAGCTACGAACATATTAAGAGATCATAGCCAACAAAAGTCCCTTGCTGTAAAGGGAAACCAGTTGATAACTCTGAAATTTTAAGACATTTAAAAAAAAAAAAATCGTAATTTTCTAATGCCACAGGAGCTTAAACTCAAACTTCTGTAAAAAGGTTGAGCTCTGCTGACCGAAACAGAAACGCACATGGAACACTTCTGTGGACATAAGGCCAGAGACACAGGTGCAGGATTGTTTCTGCCAATAACAATGAGGGCTCCAAAGCCAGAATGTTAATAATTCTTCCAAGATTCAAAGGCTTTTCCAGGTATAAAGACTACTGTTTTCCAAGTACTTCGGTGTCACAGATACAAGGTACTTAGAAAAATTTTTACCATCAAATCATTTCGATGACAGTTTGTTTACAAGAAATCAAGCCAAAAACTAGAAATCCAAGCATGAATCTGTTAAATCTTCCTGGAATTCTGAATTCAGGCCTAAGTTTGATCTCTTACAACAAAATTGTGTGCATGCATGCACATACACGTCTCAATGCCCTGCCTTTCCTTTATTCTTATTTTCTAACAAACTATGTTTTATTCAAGCCACTTAAGTTGATAATCAGCTCTTGTCCTCTTTATTTGAGAAATGAGGGAGATAAGGGCAGGCACGTTCCAAGTGAAACTGATAAACCAATAATAAACTGAAAGAGAAAACCGATCTCAATGAAGAAATCACACAGCCGGGAGAGCTGAGAAGGGGAATCTCTCTTCAGTGAGCCAGATTAAGGGCCTTCCCTTTTTTCTTAATACGTGGAAAACAGATTATGTTTTCTGGTCTGATTCAAGTTGCAGACAAATATGGGCCAGCCACAGACCAGAGAAGATTTTAAAGGGGAAAAAAAAAAAGAAAAATTAATTTGTTTTCTACTTAATTAAATACCAAATTAAATACCAAAATGGTCAAGTTTAATAACATGATGAATAAATTTGGTACCAGATAGTTGTTCTGTATTTATCTTGGCATAACAAAAATAAAATTATTTTCTATCTACCCTCAAATACTCTTCCTTACATACAGTGAAATCTACATAGCATTTTTGTAAGCATTAAATAACTGCATTCTATATAGCTACATCTGTCAAGCAAGATTCCACTAACAGGAGGCAATTTAAGGACCTCGTTAGCCAAACTCCTCCTTAACCCAGGTGCTCTCTCAAAATAACCCACCACATGTGCATGTAAACCTAGCACAGCAGAACTACTTTTAGTGTATTTAGGCACTTTTAGTGTATTTAAGTGTACAGTACTATGCTACTGAAACAAGAAAGAACAGTATTCTAACCATAAACTTTTATTTATATGAATATTTCCCTGAAATTATCTTTTAATTGTCTGTAAAAATCCAAACCAGAACTTATTTAAAAAAAAAAAAAAAAACAAGACTGAAAATGTTATTTTAAAAATAATTTTAAACATGAATTCATTAAAATATATATTAAATATGTTTTTCATTTGGTACATTACGTTACAATGAATGGGTCAGTCAGAATTATCCATATAAACAACAGAAAGTTATAGGACAAAACGAGTGTGTCTTCATAATATAAAAGCAACAAACAGCAAAGAGGAAAATACTCCAGGTCCTCTATTGTGCAAGAAAGAAAGCCATTTTAGAAACAAAAAATACAGAATTCTACCTGTTGGAGGTCCAATGTGATGGTCACGTAATGATACTCAATTCCATTCTGGATACTGGGGCTTTGCCACCAAGTGTTCTTGCCATCAATTGCATTTGTTATGGGATGTCGTTCTGTTAGAGCAGCAGAAATGCAGAAATATATTTCAAAATTATTAGGAGATTTAAATGGTTTTAGGTCTAAAATCTAGATTTGAATGCAATTAAAGAACTAATGAAGCAGCACTTCAAAATAAAATCCAGGAAATTATTTTTTCTTTTACTCTTGGGGTACTATCATTATTACTGGAATACTCAGTTAATGTTAGTTGTTTAATTTTTGTTAAGATCACAAGAAGGTGATTCAGAACACCTGAATGGACTTGGAGGCTCTTCTGATTCCATAGAAAATGTAGGCATCTAAATGAAGTGAAGAGTTCCTGCAATTTTCTAAAGTTTCAGGTACTGTGAAGTCATTAAATGTTGCAACACAAACAACAAATCAGGAACCCGAGGTACTGTGTGCAGGGAAAGCAGAGATTAAAGTAATACTGGTACTTGCATTTCTAAGACATTTCTAAGCACGCATGGAAAAAAATCAGGAAATAATTCAGAAGTCATTACAGAGGAAATGATTCAGAAATCATTACAGAATATATTTCTCAACTGGAAAATTGTATGACTCGCATGCATACGAAGGTGGTTATAATCCATATTGAAGCCAAGACTACTTTTCATGTCTAGATTTACTCTGCTGCAGGGTCCCAAATGAATCCCAAACAATAGGGATAAGAATGTATTTACAGAATTGAATCCCTCCTAGATTTCAAGATCTTGTAAATTATTGAAGTTTGCTTATACAGTGTTTTAATTTTATTTAGACTAAGAAAAGCCACACTCAACACTTCCAGGTTATTTTTTCTGGTCAATTCCAGTTTCTCTCTGGTATGAAATGGAGAGTAACATAACCTCAATTTTAAAAGCTACAAGGATCTATATTTTCAAGTCTCTAATCGCCTAGAATGCATCTGTACATTATGGGGAAAATAACCTAAAGGAAATTCAAATACAGTAGCTTTCTTCTGCGCAGGTTCTGTCTGCAAGAACGTAACAAGAGCGGAGAAATCCTACCCCTTTCATTAAGGATGGCTTTCTAAATTGACAGGTTTTCTTGATATAAAACTGCAATATGCTTCATTACTAGCTAGTCCTAGAATTGCAAATAATTAATTCATGAACTGATTAAATTACTTGTTATTTTAATTATTATTTAAATCAGCCAGCCAGACTGATACTTTGTGTGTCTCTTTTCTTGCTGCATCAACCACCTGTGGAGGACAGGAGTCCTAGCTCATTAAGGAAAGCCAGAATGTCTGAACATATTTAAAGATACAATTAAGTGCTTTGTGGGAGTGAGGGAAGGCACAAGCCCTCAAAATCGAAAATGCCAAAAGTTTCATTTAAGTATCAGATTATTCAGTGGCATTAGTGGGCACCAACAATTACATGTTAGAATACTGGTGCTGCAAGTGATGTTATTAGTAGCTTTATCTTTATATTGAAGAGAAAAGCAAAACACACGCATGCTTTACATGCTGTCGATTCCCACAGCTCTCATCATCTTCACAAACCTTGGCTTTAAATGAGTGCTAGCAAAAATCACCTGTAAATCAAACTCAGAGGACCTCAGTGATTGTGACAGAGCTATCTCATAGGAAAATTTCATTTAAGTCTCTTTAGGTGAAACTGATATAGAGGTAAATCATGAGAAGGAGGGTTGGGAGATGAATCAACAATTAGCTGTAATCACCATTATGAAAGTTTAATCATAATTAATTTGAAAACACTGATTAATTGCTGGCATGTTTTGCCTATTTAAAAAGAAAGGGAAAATAATATAATATTCACAAAAAGGACTGGATTGCAAATGCAGTTCAAGGACCAGTCTCCCTGATGGATGGCAAGGAGAACTACGGAGTGAGTCCATCAAACTGTGCTCTTTAATTTGGGCTCATATGTGATTAACCAGGGAATTTGTGTTCATTTCCTACTACAGTAATTAAGGGGAGGCACTCCAGACTTGCACATTCCAGGGGGATCACTTAAAGTCTAGTTACATTACATGGTTTTCCTATTAATGAGCCATCTCTGTTTAAAAAGGCACTTCCTTATGCCAAATGAACATTTAAAAATCTTAAAATGTGATGTGGTTGGCAACAAAAGACCAGACATTATGAAGCTGGGCAGATTCGAGTTTTTAAGAGGGTAGGAGTGAGGGATATAAATCATTCCCATGGGGTTTATGTTTATATACGTATCTGTGTGTGCGTATAGACGTGCACGTTGTGTGCACTATCTGATAGCATAGGCAGGACATGGGGATAAAGCAATCCAGCTCTGGTTTAGGTTTGCCTTCTGAATTGAACAAACTTGATAGTAAAAATCTTGTATGATGTGCGTGCGTGTCTCCACACCCATTTATAAAGAAGGGAAAGAATGTATTGCACAGTGCTTCTGCCAGTCGGAATGGTTCCAAAAACCCCTGAAATCTCTCTCAGACACACTACTACAGTGTAACATATTTGAATGCTTATATTGCTGCAAAATCGTATGACCTTTCCTCAGACGGTGACATTTACTACAATTAAAGAAGACATCGAAACTCAGAAAACTATCTGGGGGAAAAAAAATAGGTTGCAACTGAGTTCAGACAAATGATGCAGTCTATACTGGGGCAATTATAATTAGCTTCACAAATACAAGATGGGGAGCAAATGGATAGGTAGCCATTTAGCAGAAAGCTTCTGGGGATTGTAATGGACAACTAGCTATATATCTCTCAGTGGTGTCACACCATTAAAAAGGGAAAAATATCTAAGTAAAACAAGTAAACAGGAATATATCCTGTTCATTGTGGAGCAAACCTGCATCTCTATGCAGTGCTGATAAAAGCTCAGGGTGAATTTTAATAAAGATGAAAACCTCCAGAGAGAATTCAGAGAACTGCGATTTGCACAGTTAAGAGTTCTAGAAAACATAACCTGTGAGGAGAATGAAAGAAAAGAGATAGCTTAGTGTAGATACTAGATAGAGCAGCAATACCATCAACCCTCAACTACGGAAAAGACTTTTGTAAAGAAAAAGGGAATAATCCATTCCTTTTATTGACTGAAGTTAGGAAAAAGGCAACAGAAATTTCCGCAAGGAAGATGCAGATTAGCTATTAGGAAAAGACTTTGTAACGGGTAAAATAAGTCTAAGAAAGGTGGCCCAGGGAGCAAGTTTTTAAGGAGAAACTAAACAACTTCCATCTGGAAGGCTACAGACATAGATCCTGTCTACAACTAGCAGATAGATTAAATGGTGTCTGTTCTTTCTTTCCTGTAGTTTTAAGCACATGCTTAAATGTGCTTCGTCATGAGGTGTGAATATATCTGAGCTAGGTTTTAGAGGGAAACAACTGGGGAAAAAGAGAAACCGTCTCCATGCTTCTGTGGCTGTGCTTCTTCAACATTTTATCTGCTGTCTTAAGTGTCTCTACACCTTCTACCATCTACAGTGCCAATATAGCCACAAAAATCTAACAACGTTCATGCTATTCATGTCTTTCACTGCAAGGTCACGTGAAATTAATTTTTTACGACTTGACTAAGAAATTTTCTTAGTTCTAATCTTCCCAACTGTTAGAAATATGCACCTCTGAAGGAGATGATAACAAATTTACACTTGAAAACTGATTTTGCTTCCGTGTAGTCTTAAAAAAAGGCAATGTTACCAAAGATCAATTTTAATATGAAAAACTAAGCAATTAAACCAAGCAGTGCTCTGTTATCTTATTTTCTTTTTGCTGCCTCAGTGAAACTGAATTAATACCAAATGAAAAAGAAAAATATCCCGGAACACAGCAAAATAAAACTGGAGTTGGCCCTAAACTGAAATTTCAGATGTTGCTTAGATTGGACAAAATGTTCAAATTCCACATGTTGGTATGCAGGTGAAAGTCATCTGGTTTTCAATCACGGTCAGTATATATCAAGAGAATTCAACAACAGCTGTTGATACTTAATTTTTCTAAACCTGAATTTAGGTGCTCCACTTCAAGAATCTGAATTAGAAAGTTCAGTTTGAGGAGTACATACAACACATACAGATTTTGAAATGCCAATGGAAGAGACAGGTAACCCAATTTAAAGAGACAGACATTTCATAGTAATCAGGCCAGTGACCTACAGTTTTGTTTGCTGATTATCTACAAACTTTGGGAAAAAGTCTTTTTAAAGGAACAAAATGAAAATGGCACACGTACGGTGTGGAACCCTGCTCCTTTGATCACAAATACGGCACTGAGGGTTCCTCGCAGGCTGTCCAGGAACATGCTCAACAAGTTTGCAGTACATTTCCCGACCCTTTTCTCCACAGGTAGCATTGGTTGTGATGAGAGCATTAGTAGCCAGGTTCAGCACTGCGGGAAACAACCCTGCAAACAAAATAAAATAAAATCGTAAACAAAAGCAACAAAGGTGAATTTAGCAACACAATCATAAACGAACATAATACCTTTTTATGACATTAAAGCAAAGGGCATAGTTTTCAACAACGAGGGAAGTAATGAATTATGTAAAAACATCAACAACTTTGGGTTTGAATCCAGAGTTTAGACATCAGAACAAAGCCATTATAGTGATGATTTCCTCCTCATTCCCTTCTAAAACTCGAATTGGTACCCTTTGGTTATACCTTGAACAACAGCAGGATGCCAAAGGAGAAAGTAAAATATGGAATCATACAAAGTGTCATAAAATTATTTTTTTCATAATCAAACCTTGTGTTCCTACCCAATTGGACATTGAAACATTGTATGCAAATTACCTATGAAACACTTTATTATTCTTCTTTTCTGATTACGTCTCCACGGGAAACATTTTCCTTTACAGAATGCATCACTTGTAATATGCAGTATTACTGTTCTGCTTAGGACCTCATAGTCACCCTTGTCATCAGAGGAGCTAACTAATTCATGCAGCAACATGAATAGCATCTGCCATATGTGGTCTCCCTTTCCTCAAGAAGAGGATAATATATACAATATTCTATCTTTTATGGCAGTACTGGTGGGTTTTTTACAGGTGCACATACTGAGTGATGTATTATAAATCTCATTCAGCACAGCACTTAAGCACATGTCTGAGTGCTTTTTTTTTCTGTGTAGCAGTAAGCTATAAAGATTATAAACCATTCGAAAAACAATCGAGATAGGTTACTCTTCTTCCCACTAAATACTGATCAAAACCTTTGAGCCATGATAAAATTGATCCACAGAGACAAAGTGATATGAGGTGCTGAACGTATACATTAGCCCCTCACATCAAACCAATCAGTTTTGCATCTGCAAAAGCGTAATTTGCCATGGCCGCAGATTAAACTGAAATAACAACAAAAAAATCTGAGATATGGATTGGGATCATCTTCAGATGTATTTGATGACAATTTCCACTGGCCCCAAACCCACTCTTCTGCAATTCATTCAGCTTCTAACCTCACTGCATTCTTACAACCTTAAAATAAGGCTTTAATCAAAACTGAATCTGTGATTATTGCACACTGATAAAGCTCCCTTTGTAATGACTTTCCTTTTCCTCCTCCACAGATGGAGAACACTATTCAACTGACTCCTTTCAGTACTTCAACTCCAGTCTCCTGCTTGTCTCTGCAATTAACCCATATGCCATTTAATTACCAAGCTTGGGTGGTCACGGTACAGCTGTCCCCTGACATTGTGAGTTAGCGACTCTGACGCTCGCATTAAAACCACATTCAGCATACTGCTTGAGCAAGGCAACCAGTTAGCTTCTAACCTGTCCCATTTGTATAGCCAATCAATAGTCGAGATTTTATTGATCGTGTAGCTTGCTTCTTCTGTAGAGATTACAGCCCATTTTCATCACATTTTAAAATCCGTACAGTTGTTCTTGTCTTTTTATTCAATGCATTCCATGATGTTTGCTGCCTTCTACCATGCCTTTTACCATGGGACACATGGTAAAAATCTGTGCAAGCATTAGCCAAGTAGATAAGTTAATAGCTGTGGAACTTCCTATGCTGACTTACAGCCTCATTCTCTTTTTAGGCTGTACAAAGTTAAAAGTGTAAAAGCTAGTAATCACCTAGTCTTAACACAGAATCTGGTGTTTGGTTTGCAGTTAAATATTTCATTCCCTCAAAAACGAATCTTGTAAAAAGTACAAAATGATCCTGGATGCAAGGAATTGCAGTACGTGGCATCAGAAGAATAAATTCTTCAAAGAACAGTGGAACAGCTGAAAAAGAGCTGGCAAAAGCCTCCAGATTCACACAGCTGTAAAAACATTATGTTATATGTCTATACACAAATCATATCATTTTTCTACATCTTAACTAAAATTTTAAATGTAAGAGACATAAGTAAATAAAGAGCACTTATGGAACTCATCAACTCGAACATAATTTCACTCTCAGGTAACCTCTTTTATATACAGAGCAGCTTAGGACAAAACTACCACAGAGCCTTTCCCACATCCAGTACAAACACAGGCACTGAAACCAGTATTGGGTGTTTCACTGAAGAGGCCATGTGAAGATCCTGGCACCTCAGAGGGAAGTGCATCACACTGCGTTCCCTGCAGGATCACAGGAGTGGATCTGACAGGCAGGGAGCAAGAGATGCACAAAGTGCTCCTACACTGCACCCAACACCACATTTGGTATTGATGAATTTCCCAGCCCTGCAATTAGGTCTCCCTGGAGTCTTAGAATCATCATAGAATCATAGAATGGTT